AAAAAAAAAGAACAATTGTGATTCGTGGCAGAAGGTGAATATATCATTAACAAGAGTTTGGAATAAGTTGACTCCAACCCTCATGGATAACTTTGAGAGCTGCAACACTTCAGCGAAGAAAGTAACTGCTGACGTGGTAGAAATAACAAGAGAACTAGAATTAGAAGTGGAGCCTGAAGATGGGACCGAACTGCTGCAATCTCAGATCAAACTTGAATCGACGAGGAGTTGCTTCTTAAGGATGAGCAAAGGAAGTGATCTCTTGAGATGGCATCTACTCCTGGTGAAGATGTTGTAAACATTATTGAAATGACAACAAACGGTTTAGAATGTTGCATAAACTTAACTGATAAAGCAGCAGCAAAGTTTGAGAGGACTGACTCCAATTTTGAAACTGCATAAATGTTATTAAATAGTATCACGTGATAGAGAAATCTCATGTGAAAGATTCAGTCAATGCAGCAAACTTCATTGCTGTCTTATTTTAAGAAACTGCCACAGACATCCCAACCTTCAGCAGCTGCCACCCTGATCAGTCAGCAGCCATCAACATCAAGGCAAGACCCTTCACCAGGAAGATTATGACTCACTGAAGACTCTGATGATCATTAGCATTTTTAAACAATAATTTTTTAAATTAAGGTAGGTACATTGGACCCTTGAGCAACATGGGTTTAAACAACATGGCTCCAAACAACATGGGTCCATTTATTTTTGGATGTTCTTCCACCTCTGCCACTCTTGAGACAGCAAGACTAACTCTTCCTCTTCCTCATCAACCCACTCAGTGTGAAGACAAAGAGAATGAAGAACTTATTCCACTTAACACGTAATAAATATATTACACATTTTCTCTTCCTTACAATTTTCTAAATAACATATCCCTTTCTCTAGCTTCCTTTATCATAAAAATCTCACCCTTAATGGTAAGTATGTAATACATAGAACAGGTAAAATGTGTTAGCTGTTGATGTTATTGGTAAGGCTTACAGTTAACAGTGGGCTCTCAGTCACTTAGTCTTTGAAGAGTCAAAAGTGATGCACAAATTTCAACTGCAGGGCAGCAGGGAGGTGTAACTGTACACTGGTGTTTTAGACATGATGCTATTACACACCTAACAGACTCCAGCACAATGCCAACGTAACTTTTATACACACTTGTACTGGGAAACCAGAAAATTCACGTGAGTCACGTTGCTGCAAAACTTGACTTTCTGGAACCAAACCAGCAACATCTCCTGTGTTTGTGTGTATAGCATGCCTATAAAACAGGGCCACACAACAATGCAACAACACAGCAAAAAGAATCTCACAGTTAACACCTTAATCTTGAAGGTGGTTTTACACTTCTTGTAAAAATTCACACTGCCCACTTATGATTTGTATACTTTCCAGTGTGTAAGTCACACTGTAGTAAAAAGTTCAGAAAGTAAAAGAGAATGAAAGGTTCCAAGTACCCAAGGCAGGGGCCAGGCATTTGAGAGAGGAGAATGCACTGAGACTTGAGTAAGCAGGCAGCTGGAATCCCAGGAAGCACCCCTAGTGTCCCCAAGACAGGTTCACTCACCCAATGGGCTAACTAAAAGAGAAGACTTTGCAGAATGTTATGGTAAAAAGGAACCTTCAGAGAACAAAGAACCATAGGAAATCAAAATCATCATGGAAAGAATCTCTTTTTCAACAAAAGGCTGATGGATAACGTTTGGGAAATATCCTAGAAATAAACAAAAGTAAGGTAGAAAATGAAAGAGAGAAGATAAAGGAACAATCTAGCAGGTCCAACATCCTATTAACATGAATTCTAAAATACATGAATTATTTCTCAGAACATACACTTCTAGACTGGGAAGTCCCACTGAATGTCCAGCATATTTTTTTAAAAGACCACAAGCCAAACCCAAAAAGAAATCCCAAGACAATTTTAGACAGAAACATCAGATTACCTACATGTGATCAGATTCAAAATAGTGTCAGACTTACTATAAATCCTAGAAGTTATAAAAATAGCCCAACAATATAATATCTTCAAATTTTTTGAATGAAAATTATTTCCTACGTAGAAGAAAATACTCAGCCAAATTACCAATGAAGTGTAAAGATGAAATCCGTTTTGCAGACACTTTAAGGTCCCAAAGCTTTTACCTCTAAGATGCCTTTGTAAGAAAGCTACTGAAATATGAACCTCCATGAAGAAAAAAAGATTTGGGTTCCAGAAAGAAAGGCTGTGACAGAGGAGAGAGGTTGAGAGAAATCCCTGATGCTGCTAAAGGGAAATTCCAAGGGCAACGGCTTTGAAGAACTCAGACATCAACCCAGCCCCAAGAGTGGAGGACCCCAGCAAGGGAATGAGAACAGCACAAAGAACAAAGACTCACCTGAGGAGTCTGATCACACTGAGAAAAACTTTACGAATACAGCTGAGATTAAGGATCATTAGGGACATATATAGAAAATAGACAAGAGGGAAAAATATGGCAACTACCAACTCCTGAGAAAACAAAACTGGGGAGAAAATTCAGGCTCAATACATGAGTAGGGGTAGTCATAATTTCTAAAATTTGTACATCTCAATAAAAACCATGGGCCGGGCGTATGGTGGCTCAAGCCTGTAATCCCAGCGCTTTGGGAGGCCGAGGCGGGTGGATCACGAGGTCAAGAGATTGAGACCATCCTGGTCAACATGGTGAAAGCCCGTCTCTACTAAAATTACAAAAAATTAGCTGGGCATGGTGGTGCGTGCCTGTAATCCCAGCTACTCAGGAAGCTGAGGCAGGAGAATTGCCTGAACCCGGGAGGCGGAGGTTGCAGTGAGCTGAGATCGCGCCATTGCACTACAGCCTGGGTAACAAGAGTGAAACTCCGTCTCAAAAAGAAAAAAAAAGTCATGACGTAGGCCTGGTACAATGGCTCACGCCTATAATCTTAGCATTTTGGAGGAAGCCAAGTTGGTCAGATTGCCTGAGCTCAGGAATTTGAGACCAGCCTTGGCAACATGGTGACACCCCATCTCTACCAAAATACAAAAAAACTAGCAGGATGTGGTGGCCCACATCTGCAATCTCAGCTACTGAGGAGGCTGCGGGACAAGAATCACTTGAACCTGGAGACGGAGGTTACAGGATCATACCACTGTACTCCAGCCTGGGCGATGGAACAAGACTTTGTCTCAAAAAAAGAAAAGGTGCAAAAGAATTAGCCAGGTATGGTGGCATGCACCAGTAGTTCCAGCTATTCAGGAGGCTGAGATGGGAATCTCACTTGAAGCCTGGGTGGTAGAGGCTGCAGTGAGCCGTGACTGTACCAAAGCACTCCAACATGGGTGACAGAGTAAGATCCTATCTCAAAAAAAAAAAAAATCCTGATGTATCTCTTTGGGATGGTAAGGCCAGATCTCCATCTCCCTTAATAAGTCACTTTTGGCCAGGCGCAGTGGCTCAAGCCTGTAAGCCCAGCACTTTGGAAGGCTGAGGGGGGTGGATCACGAGGTCAAGAGATCGAGACCATCCTGGTCAACATGGTGAAACCCCGTCTCTACTAAAAATACAAAAACTTAGCTGGGCATGGTGGCACGTGCCTGTAATCCCAGCTACTCAGGAGGCTGAGGCAGGAGAATTGCCTGAACCCAGGAGGCGGAGGTTGCGGTGAGCCGAGATGACGCCATTGCACTCCAGCCTGGGTAACAAGAGCGAAACTCCGTCTCAAAAAAAAAGTCACTTTTTTGTCTAACACTGAAAATTTATGACATAATATGTTGTGTAGAAAAGGGGAAGAAAAAGCAGAATACTTAAAATAGTCACTGTCTTTTAAAAGGGGAGAATAAGGAGTAAGGAAGAATGAGGCAGGCGACTGCCAGTGATTTCTTCAGGGTATGTAACACTTTTCAGTTTTTTAGCCTATGCACATATATTTAATTTTTTAATGTTTTTTAAAGAGGAAATTCGAATGAGGAAACAGAATACAGTGCTCGTTCCCGTACCAACGTTTTGCTCTGCATTTGAGCACTGATCGCACACATGCCAGGCACTGGAAACTGCAGGTGGCACTGTGGCACCCCAGTCAGTGTGTGGGATGCCAGGGGAAGGCAGGTAAGAAAGCAACACAGGGGAGGGTATCTAACACGGGAAGGCACTATCCTGTCTACACACTAAGGGGAAAAATCAGAGCAAGAAAGAGAAGACAGGACAAGAAGAATGGCCGAAGGAGACGGGGTCCTGGGAAAGGGGAGGTGAGGAGAGGGGTCCTGGGAAAGGGAAGATGAGAGAGGGGTCCTGGGAAAGGGGAGGTGAGGAGAGGGGTCCTGGGAAAGGGGAGGGCGGAGAGGGGTCTGCAGCTCATCAGGGCCCTGGGGACAAGACAGGCACTCAGAGCCACAGGCCCCAATCACACCTGTCCCTCCATGCACAGCAGGCGATGCCACCTCTCAGCCTGGCAGCATGGAGGGCATAAGGAAAGGTGAGTGAGCAGCTGAGAAGCACTGCAGGGGAAGGAACCACATAGCACATGTGAGAGGAAACAGAAACAAAATCTGGTCAGGAAACTGGTACACACACAGATCTATGTGAAAAGGCAGAAAAGAGCTACGGTGGACAGCATTAACTACAGGCACGCAGGCACATTCATGGAGGATCCTTTATTCAGCCTGCATACATCTGAACTACCACTACAACAAAAGTAAATCTCTGAAACAGATATGTATTTTGTGATAATGTATGCATTTCAGTTACAAAATTTCCGACATATGGTTTATATACATTAAATAAAATGCAGACTAATACGATATGTGCATTGTACAGGAGTTAAGCTTTTCCCTGTTATCAAGCCCATACAAGCCCAAGACACAGAGTTTATCCCAGACTCTGAATAGACCAGACTGTCCCCTAACAACCCAAATGGTAAAACCCACTACCGAGTTACAAAGCTGACTTTATCATGCACAATTTTAGAAACAGTGGAGGAGGCGATGGCCTCTGGGGACAGCATGCCCCTCAAGCAGCGCTTACCTGAGCCCACGTGGCCTGCATACTTGACAAGGCACTTCCCCATTTCTATGCTCCACAGCAAAGCCGTGTGGTCTGCAAGTTGGAAATGAACAAGTCAGAACTTACCTGCCATCAGTTTATAGCTTTTTAAATGAAAGAATAAGACAAAGACCCTAACAATGGGAAGTTACTCTACCACTGATATCTCTTGCACCTTTGATTCTATTATTCTGCACACTTCAACTTATCAAAGAAAACATTTCCCAGATAGGAGAAGCTGTGACTTGTCTGAGGCCATGACATTGGCTGACAGACAACCAGAGACTCCGTTTCCTCCTTTACTATGAGGTTGGCTGCATCATGCTGGAAGCTGACAGACAGGGGTCATTCACATCACAGTTTCATGATTTCATTAAAGTATTAAAATGTTGCAGAACATCTTACAGCTTCATATTCAAACAGCATCCAAATCTAGTTACAACTGTTGAGGTAAGTTTTTGTTTGGGCATTTCTCTTTTTTTTTTTGAGACGGAGTTTCGCTCTTGTTACCCAGGCTGGAGTGCAATGGCACTATCTCGGCTCACCGAAACCTCCGCCTCCTGGGTTCAGGCAATTCTCCTGCCTCAGCCTACTGAGTAGCTGGGATTATAGGCATGCGCTACCATGTCCAGCTAATTTTTTGTATTTTTAGTAGAGACGGGGTTTCACCATGTTGATCAGGATGGTCTCGATCTCTTGACCTCGTGATACACCCGCCTCGGCCTCCCAAAGTGCTGGGATTACAGGCTTGAGCCACCGCGCCCGGCCGGGCATTTCTCTTACAGCCATTATTTTTTTAAGTAGACTTAACAGTTTCAAAGAGAAGGAATAACTTTCCTCACTGTTCAAGTGATTTATCACATTCACTTCTGCCTCTAAAAAGCAGAATCCAGTGAGTGATTAATGTCTCACAAGCAGGGACAGCACGTACAATGAGCACCATTTTTAATTTAAGCAATTTTTATCTGAAGGGCAATTAGGCCACCTTAGATAGCTTTCATAAAATATCTTTTTTCAGAGAAAACAAAGGGTCATTTTCCACACTCTGCCCCTGTGAGTCTGTGGGCAAACCCTGGCTTGGGGAGGCCATCAGGCTGCACTGCTGGCTATGTGCCCAGGTAGTATTCACTTTCAGTGTGGGCAAACCCTGGCTGGGGAAGGCCATCAGACTCCACTGCTGGCTACGTGCCCGGGTTGTATTCACTTTCAGTGAGTATCACAGTACTGTCCCTCAGCTACTCCGCTTATGGGAAAAAGTCAAACATCTACAAATCAGAAGCATACTTGGCTGTGGATAAGGAGAAAAAGAATAACTCGAACACCAATTCCTCAACACATTTAAGTTAAATCCATCCCAAACAAGTATTTCCTTCCTCAGATATTTTGTTGACTGTGAGTTGCAACACCCTACCCACGGGGACCTGGAAAAGGCAGGGAGCAGCTGCACACCTATCCCTGGGACCACGGAATGCAGGATGCAGCTGAACACCCGTCCACAGGACCACGGAATGCAGGGAGCAGCTGGACACCCACCCATGGGACCATGAAATGCTGGCTACAGCTAGACACTCACGGGACCACAGAATGCTGGGTGTGGTTTGATACCCACCCATGGAACCACAGAATGCTAGGTGCAGTTGGACACCCACCCATGGGGCTACAAAATTCAGGGAGCAGCTGGACACCCACCCACAGGACCACGGAATGTAGGACTGCAAGCCACAGCACTAAGCATCACCAAGGGCTAATGTGCTGGTTCCACTGACTCCTCCATGACACTTCTGCATCTAAGGTTCCTCTGTCACAGACGAGGTGAATGTCCGTCACTCAGAGACAGCCATGCTTCCATAGGCTGGCCAGGTCTGTGTGCAACTCACCAGCTGACGCAGTCCCGAGCACCACTGGCTGTGTCCTGGCCACACTGACATCCCAAATGCCATCCCGGTGACCAATGTACTCCTTCACAAGCTGGCAGGCAGCCCGCGACGTCGTGGTCTTAAAGCTGGAGACAATCTGAAACCGTGATGGGCAGTCTTGTGAAACAATTTACTCAAGTGAATTTTTCTAAGTCAAGAAAGATAAAACCAAAACGATGTCTTGAAAAATGCATAAATCACTGACCAGGACAGTTTAAGCACTAAAGGAACACAGCACATGCATGAGCTGAAGCGCCCTGTGTGGGAAGGGTGGCAGGTTCAGCTCGCATCACAGAGAATGCATGGAGCCCTTGTGATGACTTGTGAAGGCTCCTCCACCTCAGTCTCACCCATGGAACCACAGCCAGACATGGAAGGTCTCACTGCAGAAGGCAGATTTTGGTATTCCAAGTCACTCTTTCCCAAACCCAAATTATCAGACAAAATTTCCAAATTCTTTAAAAAACCAAATAGCTAGCTAGCCACCCAGACACGAAAAAGGAAGGACACCCCAAACCCTTAACTTTAGCTAATGACACTGATTGCTAAACATGTTCACATTTTGCTGTTTTTGGGTAATTTACACAACCTCATATCATCGAGTAGAAAAAAGCCTGTGGTGGGGAGGAATCTAAAGGCGACACTAACAGGTGTGCCAGTTCATCCAGGGCTGCTCACTGGGTGCTTGCTCAGGACAGGCACCAGCCACAAGGGCACAGGACAGCACCGCCACGGGCCCCTTGCCTTTCAGACATGTTCAGCCTAGCAGGACACAACGCAAAAACAGCTTGGACCACAGAAAGGTACTGTCTCAAATGATGACACACACAGCAGATAGTTTTCGTGTTCTCATATCAGGAAAAATACGAAGTGAGTGAGGAAGAAACTAATTTAACACGATTTCTGCAGAGTTTGCTTTTTACATTTTTCTTAGGTAAGAAAACAGCTGTCCAGCTTTTAAGTAAATCAGAAAAATGTAGACTTTTCAGAATAATAAAGCAAAAAGATTAAGTGAAAAAAATCAGTGGCACTACACAAATTGTTTTAAACACAGATTTGGTAAAGCCCTGAAAAACGAGATCTCAATTCATTCTTCCATAAGTACATGAAAGCACAATCCACTGTCACATCAGTTCAGGTATGCACACTCAAGTTATTTTCCCCCGATACCGTGCCAAAAAGACTGAGGAAGACACCAACATTTTCACCAGTAACAGAAAGAACTTTCACTGGAATTGGTCACAGGAATTATATAAGCACTTGTTCAACCTCAAACCCACTATTATCCTCTTTCCTTTCTGAACGCTAATAACCTATTCAACCCAGCGAAATTTGCCTCCAAAACATGGGAAATGTGCCATTCAGATGTTAAATAATATTGTAACATTTTAGGAAGGAGTGAAACTAAAGAACACACACAACCTCCAACCATAATAAGCTATAGTAAATTTTATCTTCCAAGTCTCTCACCATTTCTAACATAAATAACAGTATCATAAGAAACAAACACTAGCGTTCCATTCTTCACCTGCTCCCTTCGCAGGCTGAAAAGAGAGTGGTTCCTTCCCTGAGGCTCCAACTGTGCTTCTGGTGGAGCTGTGCAGGAGATAACGTGCCGTTTTCAAGTATTTTCTCATGTGTGTTGCTTCCAAAATGCCCACTACATTTTGACCATCTATTACTTTAACTCTTTGACATCATTACAAAGAGGCCCAACAAAACAGACTGAATTACTTAGAGGTAATGTTTATAACAGAATAGCAGCAGAATGAAGCAGCAAACTGATGCTTACACCCATCATCCCAGATCATTTTAACTGAGCCGCAATCTAAAGCACTGCTGTGAAAATGTTTGCAAATATTTTTGTAAATCTAAGTATCTTTCTTTGTGGAAAAAGCCCTTTCTGATTTTTACAAGTTTCTTTAAAGTGGGCTACAGGTTAAACTGCCTTACTTCCCTCCCACGTAGGCATCAGAAATGTCATTAAGCCACGAGGAAGGAGAAAAATCTCTTCTGCATTCATGCAACACACTTCTGTGTTCCCACTATCCCACCAAACACGCTACTTGCTTTTCATGGCTCTGAGTCAGAAGGAGGGAAAGTAATAAATCTAGACTGTGGCCTTTCTCTTGTTGCATTCATGCTTAGCTTTGGCACCAAGAATCCACACTGTAGTACAAATCAGAATATATTCTGTTACCAAATAATTTCTTCAATCTTCAGATGTCTTATATTTTGTTTTTTTTTTTTACAGTGGGTACAGACATTGTGCAAAAGCTATAAAGATCATTAGTAATATGCTTCTTATAAATTCAGACTTCTAGTACCTAAAATGACAGGGCTTTAAATATCTCTAATACATTTTTTAAAGCAATACATTACTATACATATCCTTACCCGTGTCCAAATCTTTTTTTTTTTTTTTTGAGACACAGTTTCCCTCTTGTTACCCAGGCTGGACTGCAGTGGCGCGATCTCGGCTCACCACAATCTCCACCTCCTGGGTTCAGGCAATTCTCCTGCCTCAGCCTCCTGAGTAGCTGGATGCCCAGCTAATTTTTTGTATTTTTAGTAGAGACGAGGTTTCACCATGTTGACCAGGATGGTCTCGATCTCTTGACCTCGTGATCCACCCACCTCGGCCTCCCAATGTGCTGGGATTACAGGCGTGAGCCACCGCGCCCAGCCTCCAAATCTTATTTTTTACTGCTCATAGTAAAGGACAAATTTATATAATCATTTCTTCCTCTACTTCAGAAATAATCAGAAAGTTTTGGAACTCCAAGACCATACACTGTAAACATACAACTGTACACACCACAGAAAGCAAAATAATCCAAGATAATGTAACAAGAACTTAATGAGGAGAACATAATTTCACATTTCATTATGAAGAAAATGCTTCAAGTTAATTTATTAAGAAGTTCAAAACTGTAAGTGTAACCTATGGTATTACAAGGCCAAAAAAATCAAATAAATTAGCAACTTACATTCTAGATGTTATCAAAGGAAAGTATAGTAGAAAATACCAGCAATTTCAGACTTTCTTTTGAATAACAAAGAATTAGCAAAGGCTATCAAATGAGGAGAAATAGCAGGACTGAATTTACTTTATTAATTGAAGTTAATCTTACTATAGATGTCATGCTAAATAACTTTAAACCCAAGGAAACAAATCGGAAAGATAAAAAGCTAACAAGAACTAGTTAACACCATCATAGCAGACTCACTGAAAATTTCAACATTTTCCCCCAAGCTTAGCAAAAGGAATGTGTATTCACTAAAGTTAGGTAATAAATTTATCTTTTGTATCCTTGAAATACGCCAAAGTACAGACACATACAAAATTACCTCCAAATATCCCTTGATAGTAGTACTCCACCATAGACAAATGAATCCCCAAACAATTAAACCCTTGCCACTTTCAGAAGGTCAACACGAGAAACTTTACGAAAACACAAAATGCCGTGAACGTCCCTATTCACCTCAGAGACAGACCTTCACCTCCTGATCACACTTAGAAAACTGAGGAAAATAACATAATGAACTAAATGTAACTTTAGCTCAGAACGTAATTTCCACTAATTTATACATATTTATTAGCTTCCTCTAAATTCAGAGCCTTTATATTAAGCCGATTAACAATAGAATATATTCCCTCTACAGACAATGTTACTAATACATCACGGATAAATTCCAGTGGGTACTACGGTAAGCTACTACATAAGGGTATCATACTGACACAGAGTCTCGCTCTGCTGCCCAGACTAGAGTGCAGTGATGCAATCTCGGCTCACTGCAACCACCACCTCCCAGGCTTAAGCAATTCTCATGCCTCAGCCTCTCAAGGAGCTGAGATTACAGGCACCCACCACCTCACCTGGCTAATTTTTGTATTTTTAGTAGAGACAGGGTTTCGCTATGTTGGCCTAGCTAGCCTCACAAACTCATCACCTCCAGCAATCTGCCTGCTGCAGCCTCCCAAAGTGCTGGGATCACAGGTGTGAGCCACCACGCCTGGCCAAGACATTCCTTTTACAAACTAAATTTTCCTGTAAACCATTTATCTTTTTCTACTGTGCCCTTCTAATTGGAAAACGTGCAACCTGAAGTACACATCTGCACACCTTAACCACCACATGATGGCTCGAGAGCAGGGGCCTGCGTACCTTGCTGGTGGAAGCCTTGTACGTGGTCTTCAGTTTCTGGGAGAGCTGGCTGGTGCTGTGACTGGCTGCAGGGACAGAGAGTGACATCAAACACAATCACACAACCAAAGACCCCAGCCTCACAGATGGGTCTTGTGTCTCACACAGGAAGAAAGGGGGCCCAGAGGGCTCGTCTGGCCCAAGCAACAGGAGCCATGGCAGGGCGGGAACAAGAACTGAGCTCCTTATTCTCCCAGACCCACACCTGAATTAGAGTCTCCTAGACCCACACCTGAATTAGATAGCTCAAGGTCTGCCGATAGCAAAACACAAACCAGCCAGCATCCTTCACTAAATTCCACATTTCCTGCATAGATAACCCGCAGGACAAAACCTTCATGGGAATTCACCTTTACCTTTTGTTTTGAGTTGGCCCTTGCTCAGCTCTGCTCCGTCAATCGCTTGTCCTTCAGCAGCTAAACGTTCGTTAAGAGTGTCGATTTCTCTACGTACTGGTAATAAAAAAAAGTTTTCAAAAATGTAAAGTATGTTTTTATGTTTAAATGTACTCACCACTTCCAAAACTTGCACACAGAAAAATGTTACAGTGTTATATAAAGACATAAATCATAGTCTAATAAGCAAGATCACAATTCAGAGTTCTCAAAAAACTAAAGAAATCATTCGAGATATCGTTCCAAAAATAAAAGCTCATATACATTTGCTACACTGTGGAAGACACTGCTATCAGGGTCTCAAGAACAGCACCTGCACTTCAACACAGTTTCCATAGTGCTTGATTGTATGCAATTAAAAACATTATTCTGGGCTGGGCATGGTGGCTCATGCCTGTAATTCCAACACTTTGGGAAGCCGAGGCGGACAGATCACTTGGGGTCAGGAGTTCAAGACCAGCATGGCCAACATGGTGAAACCCCTTCTCTGCTAAAAATACACAAAAAAGCTGGGCATGATTGTAACCCCAGCTACATGGGAGGCTGAGGCATGAGAATCACTTGAACCTGTGAGGCGGAGGCTGCAGTGAGCCCAGATTGTACCAGTGAACTCCAGCCTGGGCGACAGAGCAAGACTCTGTATTTAAAAAAAAAAAAAAAGATTGAAGTAATTTTTTCCTCTACGAATTGTCAAGAAAGTTTAAATGGGCCGGGCGCGGTGGCTCAAGCCTGTAATCCCAGCGCTTTGGGAGGCCGAGGTGGGTGGATCACAAGGTCGAGAGATCGAGACCATCCTGGTCGACATGGTGAAACCCCGTCTCTACTAAAAATACAAAAAAACTAGCTGGGCATGGTGGCGCGTGCCTGTAATCCCAGCTACCCAGGAGGCTGAGGCAGGAGAATTGCCTGAGCCCAGGAGGCGGAGGTTGCGGTGAGCCGAGATCGCGCCATTGCACTCCAGCCTGGGTAACAAGAGCGAAACTGTCTCAAAAAAAAAAAAAGTTTAAATGACATAGGATTATATTCTCTTTACATTACTGATCCAACCACACCACTTAGTTATAGAGTAAAAAATAGCTTAACAACCGTAATGTTCTTTGTTAGCATTCAACATTTAGAATCAATGTGTAGATAAAGCATGAAAGACTTGATTATAGTTACATCTGTCTAATACAAATTTTACAGATTTGTATGGTTATGGTGGTTCACACCTGTAATCTCAGCACTTTGGGAAGCCAAGATGGGAAGATCACTTAAGCCCAGGGGTTTGAGACCAGCCTGGGCAACACAGTGAGACCCTGTCTTTATAAGTATAAATTTTACAAACACAAACCCTAGGAAAAGAAAACTCATAAGTAACGGAGCAGCAAAAAGGACCTGTTTATTTCACTGTGAAGCATTAACACTAAAGCAGATCCACCCAAAACCAGAAGCAGCTTCCTTGCATTTACAAGACTAACCACCAAAAGAACCAAAAGCAAAAACATGCAGAAAATGCGTTCCTTTAAAGTGTGATGGGATTGAGGGGTAATGGTAGCTTTCTTTTTATACTGTTTGATAAATTTTTAACCATATATAGGCATTACTTCCAAAATTAAAAATGAAAATAAAGTTAAAGCCAAGCTAATTCAAAAAACTGTTTTGATTTGCCTTTAATAAGTCAGATAGTACATGCATCACTTTTCAAATGATGGTATAAGATTAACAAAGTAAATCAATGTTTTCTCAATTTATGGTGTAAAGGGAAAATTGTAAGATTCATGTAACTTGGTAAAGGGAAAATTGTAAGATTCATGTATTTTTTATGAAATCACAATTTGGACCAGTTGTGGCAGTAAGCAGGATAATGAACCCTCAAATATGCCCATGCCTTAAGCCCATAACCTGTGAATAGAACAGGACACAGGCACAAGGTCTCCCCCTGACTATCCTGGGGCCCAATCCAATCACACACATTCTTCAGAGGTCAGGAGAGGTGGGGGTGGGTCAGAGAGCAAGCAGGAGGACTTGAGCAAGAAGGAGGGGGCCAAAAGCCAAGGAGTGCAGCAACAGACCTCTGTTCTAAAACTGCAAAGAACTGAATTCTGTCACAATCCCAACACGCAGGAACATTCCTCCCCAGAGCCTCCAGAGGGAGCAGAGCTTGGCCAACACCTGACTATGGCCTCATGGGAATCACATCAGACCCACAGAACTGCAAGACGACAAATCTGCGTTTCTTTTCTTTTTTATTTTTATTTCTTTTTTGAGACAGAGTCTCACTCTGTCACCCAGGCTGTAGTGCAATGGTGCAATCTCAGCTCACTGCAACCTCCACCTCCCAGGTTCAAGCAATTCCCGCCTCAGCCTCCTGAGTAGCTGGGATTACAGGTACGCGCCACCACGCCCAGCTAATCTTTGTATTTTTTTTTTTTTTTTTTTGAGACGGAGTTTCACTCTTGTTACCCAGGCTGGAGTGCAATGGCACGATCTTGGCTCACCACAACCGCCGCCTCCTGGGTTCAGGCAATTCTCCTGTCTCAGCCTCCTGAGTAGCTGGGATTACAGGCACGTGCCACCATGCCCAGCTGATTTTTTGTATTTTTAGTAGAGACGGGGTTTCACCATGTTGACCGGGATGGTCTCGATCTCTCGACCTCGTGATCCACCCGCCTCGGCCTCCCAAAGTGCTGGGATTACAGGTTTGAGCCACCGCGCCCGGCCTAATCTTTGTATTTTTAATAGAGACAGGGTTTCACCATGTTGGTCAGGCTGGTCTCGAACTCCTGACTTCATGATCCACCACCCTTGGCCTCCCAACATGCTGAGATTACAGGCGTGAGCGACCACGCACAACCAATATCTGTGTTATGTTAAGCCACTAAAATAAGTTTAAGTTTGCTACAGCAGAACAGAAAACTAATATAGTGATGAATGTCTATTCATAAATTTGACTCTCAAAGATTTCTGTGAATACGTAAAAAGCTATAAAAATATATTAAAATGGGAGATACTCACATTCTAAGTTTTCAATATAAAGGTTTTCAAATTCTCTTTCTATTTGCCCAAACAGTTCCAGAAGTGTACTGCGAACGGAGGAAGGCAGTTTAGAATCCTGCAGAAGAAGACTCTGCTTAGAATGAATGAATGAATGAAAGAACAACTCTTAAGACCAAGTACAAATATGCTTTTTCCAAAGTGAATTATCTTTTATTTGAAACTCTTATTTTGTATCATTACATATTTTTATACATAAAATGCTTAGCGAGTTTAAAGTTCCAAATTTCTGCCAAGGAAACTATAAATCAAATTGAATAAATGGCTACCTAGTATGATACGTGATTTAAAAACAAACACTCCTTCAAAATAACATAATTTTCCCCTTTGTAAGAGAGGACATAGCATACTTTATTTTAAAACTTTGAAATCTGTAGAGAAAGAAGGCAGCTCCCATAAATGAACTATTATAAGCAGCCTCTGAGCACCATCATGCTATTCTACAAGTATTTTTTTTTTTTTTGAGGCGGAGTTTCGCTCGTTACCCAGGCTGGAGTGCAATGGCGCGATCTCGGCTCACCGCAACCTCCGCCTCCTGGGTTCAGGCAATTCTCCTGCCTCAGCCTCCTGAGTAGCTGGGATTACAGGCACGCGCCACCATGCCCAGCTAATTTTTTTTGTATTTTTAGTAGAGATGGGGTTTCACCATGTTGACCAGGATGGTCTCGATCTCTCGACCTCGTGATCCACCCGCCTCGGCCTCCCAAAGTGCTGGGATTACAGGCTTGAGCCACCGCGCCCGGCTACTCTACAAGTATTTTAACCTGCTAGACACTCACGGAAGAGGTGCCTTACAGTGGTCCCACCACGCCCACTGCACTTCAGTCAAAGGCACACTCTTCTCGTCATTTTACGTTAACACCTAAAAGAGTGTGATGAAGAGGAAAAAGAGAAACATCTCGCCAAAAAGAGCCAAATGTCTATTTAGTTGAGTGAAAACATTAACTTTTAAGTTCCCGCCTGGGCCACGTTCTTCACGCCTGTGTGTTTCCCGTACTTCTGGGAAGGTGAAGGGATGGGGCTACACTGTCAAGTGCAGGCCAGCAAGTGAGCAGGTCCTGAGCACCGAACATATCACAGGCACTCACTGCTCGGCCCGCTAACCAACAGGAGCCTGCCAGACACAGCCACGTGCCATCCAACCTCCCTAAGGGCATGGTCTATGTACTATTTGGGTATGTGTCCCCTACCCTTAACACCCTGAGTGATTTTCATAAAAGTCCTCATCAAACATTTCTAAAATGGTTTTTGATACTTAACCTTTCTATAGGACCTTTCAGATTTACATATAGCATAAACCTTTTTTATTCTGATGAGTTGTAAACTTTAAAACAAGATACACATTTATTAAATCTTAAGAAGATAAATTTTAAGCAAAAATGACAGCACTTTAGCAATGTGAGTTTTATCATAGATTTCTGACATAAATTTTATAAACACACACACATACACACACACACACACACACACACACACACACTTTAAACACTGAATTGGTACTATAGTACTACAGAATTGATACTATAGCCTCTAAACACACTTCTAAAACCAATGAAGAACATGAAATAAAAAAAGAAAGAAAGAAAGAAAAATGTAACAACAAAAAATAAAACCAAGCCATCAAAAAGGATGTTCCAGCCAGGCGCGGTGGCTCATGCCTGTAATTACAGCACTTTGGGAGGCCAAGGCAGGTGCATCACCTGAGGTCAGGAGTTCGAGACCAGCCTGGCCAACATGGAGAAACTCCATCTCTACTAAAAATACAAAAGTGGCACACACCTGTCATCCCAGCTACTTGGGAGGCTGAGGTAGAAGAACCGCTTGAACCTGGGAGGCAGAGGTTGCAGTGAGTGGAGATAGCACCACTGCACCTCAGCCTGGGTGACAGAGCAAGGCTCTGTCTCGAAAAAAAAAAAAAAAAGGTTCCAATAGCTATAAAACATAAGCTTGCACCGAACTGAGAATCATTATTATCATCTTCCCTGCCCTGTGGCCTCTGCACACCCCATTCCCTCTCTGTGAACATCCCTCCCTGCAAGTGCCGCCTCCTCAGAAGCCCTTCCGATTCCTACATGAGGCCAACCTCCTCCCACAGGCAGCAGTTCCTACTCATCTACACCCATAATATTTTAAGGCTCTTACTGTTCAGCAACTAATGACATAATGCCATATGTACTTGAACATTAAGTGCATATTAATATAAAAGTAATTGCTACGGAAAAGAAAGCTGAGAAGTCAGCATTAACCTTACTTTGTAATCAAGAAACTAAATGCACAGTGAAATGAGGACTTTTCCGCCAGAGGGCAACTTTAGCCCAGGAAGAGCAGGCTTACAAAATGACTTTCAACCTTTTCCATCAGTTCTTCTTTTCTGTGCCATTCAATTTCAGACTCTAAACTCAGAGTTATTGACTGAACTTTTGGTACTACTTGAGAAAACTCAAAACATAACTGCTATGACTCAGTAAGGCTTTTAAATGAATTTGTTTCATCGCATTGACACTGACACACACTTGAAAGCTGCAGCACACACATGCAGGGAGCAGCCAGCTCTTCTGGCCACAGCTGGCACTGTGCTTGCCAATGACAGACCTCTGGTGCCTGCACGAACCTGGCTTTCTAAACAACCCTAGACTGGCACATCTGAGACATATAAAGTTAAACCTAACACCATGTTTCCCTCAGGCTCATCTGCCCTCCCTTCTCTATTGCTGCTCCTCAACAAATGAAAGGGCACCATCAGACACTGTCTACGAGACTACTCCTATGTTTATCAACCCTCCGTGTTCTGAGATTGCCCCTCACACCTACCATGCCAAACGTAAGCACGGACACCACTGCTCTCTCCCGCCAACCACAGGGGAAAGGCAGAGCACCTCACACTGGCCACTCGCAGAACATGCCGGTTGGTCCTACTCCAAATCACTGGTCATTCAACAAATGAGCTCCATCTAGGGAGCCAGTGTGGGAGACACGGAGACCAGGGACCAACGGTGGTGCAGCACGAGGACAAGGCCGGGCGGCTTGGAGACCTCTGAGCGACATTCCTAGGGTTACCACAAGATGCAGTTACCGCCCGTGCCGCATCACAAAGGAGAGCAGGCCTTCAGGGCCCAGCGGGGAACACATTCACCCCATGAGGGAGACAACTGCAGAACATGCCAGCAGAGGAGGCTGTAGGATTTCCACTAGAAATTAAGTGAATCTATAAATTAGGAAAACCTATCTTAGACTACCGCACTGTCCAATAGGGTAGCCACTTGCCACATCTGACTGTAAATTTACATGTAATTACAAGTTTTAAAAATTAAAATTTCATGTCCCAGGGACACTGGCTACATTTCAAGTGCTCGGCAGCCACGTGTGACTGGTGGTTCCCACATCAGACAGCACAGATACAGACACTGCTGCCACCACAGGAGTCCTGCCCCACAGCTCTGCTCTCTCCTAAGTGCTATGTTGGACGGTGTCCCCTAAAAGTCCCATGTGGAAGTCCAAAGGCTGAGGACCTCAGCATGTGATTGCCTGGAGTCAGGGCCTTGAAAGAGGGGGTCAGGGTAAAATTAGGTCATAAAGGAAGGCCCGCCAGTATGACTGGGGTCCTTTTAAGAAGAGATTAGGACACAGACACACACAGAGGGACAACCCTGTGAGGACACAGGGAGAAGATGGTGTCTGCAAGCCATGGAGAGAGACCCTGGGAGGAACCAGCCCTGCCCACACCTTGATCTAGGGCTTCCAGCCACAGAAGGGACCATGAGAAAATCTACTGGTTAAGCTGCCCAGTCTGTGGCATTTTGTTATGGAAGTCCTAGCAAAGTAATACTAACTTTGTATTGTTAGTAACACTAACAATACTAAAGCTATTTTTATAATTTTATTTTGAACACTAAGTTAAAATGTAATCATTTTTTACAGAAATGAGAACCAGGTATTAGTTTACTTATTCGATGCATAACCATCTAATTTGAGTTGAAGATCCTCTTTGTGGCAGCAATCATGTCGGGTTCTGGGTTCACACTGTTGTATTCAGTAAAGAGGTCACAGCCTCGAAGTCCTGGGCATAAAGTTACTCACATGGTCCTAACAAGATCCAATATTCACATAAGCCAATTTCTTATTTAAGCATTATCTTCCTACAGCATTATGGCTGATAAATTTGTTCTAATTGTGAAGGAATTGTTATAAATTTATATATACACATATATATCTATAAGCATATGTTAGATATATCTAGAGCTTATTTTAATATAACATATACTTTGTCTAGGCTTTACAATAATTTTTTTTTTTTTTTTGAGATAGAGTCTCACCCTGACACCAGGCTAGAGTACAAGGGTGTAATCTTGGCTCACTGTAACCTTTGCTTCCCGGTTCAAGTGATTCTTCCACCTCAGCGTCCCGAGTAGCTGGAACTACAAGCACACACCACCACAACTAGCTAATTTTTGTATTTTTAGTAGAGATGGGGTTTTACCATGTTGGCCAGGATGGTCTTGATCTCTTGACCTTGTGATCTGCCGGCCTTGGCCTCCCAAAGTGCTGGGATTACAGGCGTGAGCCACTGTGCTCGGCCCCACAACAATATTATTTTAAAATTCTAGCACAAGCCGGGCGCGGTGGCTCACACCAGCACTTTGGGAGGCTGAGGCAGGCAGATCACCCGAAGTCAGGAGTTCGAGACCACCCTGACCAACATGGAGAAACCCCGTCTCTACCAAAAACCCAAAGTTAGCCAGGCATGACAGCACATGCCTGTAGTCCCAGCTACTCGGGAGGCTGAGGCAGGAGAACTGCTTGAACCCAGGAGGCAGAGGTTGCGATGAGCCGAGATCGCGCCATTGCTCTCCAGCCTGGGCAACAAGAGTGAAACTCCATTTCAAAAAAAAAAAAGTTATTTCATTTTAATCAAAGGATGACATACTCACTGCAGCAGAGATAAGGATAAAGCCAAATAAAGTCACGAAAAGATCTGATTCCAAAAACTCTTCAGAGAACACAAAGAGATCATTAAAGAGTATATGATACTCTTCTATTCCTGAGACTAAGAGACAGAAAACCCAGAATTGTATTGTCAACAAACCTGTACAAATAAAACTCATCCAAACTGTCATACCTACTTTGATTTGTTATTACATATTATACATATGCTAACCCATGTGTGTATGCTGTTGCATTTGACAGAAGTTTTAATGAGTTTATTTTGGGGGAGTTCGGGAGGGGTGATCCTTGTTAAGTAACCCAAACATTTTTTTCTACTTTGGAGACTTTTCTACATTTGGCCGCTTTTATAACATCACAGACACAATCGCTATCTTTGAAATCAGGCCCTGATCAATACTAGCTTACTTGTCCTTCTAACATGTCTCTCGGCAGCCCCGTCCTCTCCTGCTCCGAGCTGTTAGTTCTTCGTATAGAAAGGCTATGTGATTTGCGCTTCTGTTTTGCTTGGCGAGCAGTCGAGCAGCTTGCGCTTTCTGTGGGCATCACTTCTAGAAGGTATTGTCCTGGTCACTCCTGCAATAAGCTAAAAACAGCAAGAAAAAACAGTATTCTGAGATAGCGAATTGAAACAAAAGAAAAACACTGAGCAAGGTAATGATTACAAGCTTTCTTACTATGGTTAACATTTACTATATAATTGAGAACATGACAAATTAAAATATTTTAAGGTAGAGACCACAGCCTTTGTTAAAGACATAATTTCTTTATCAAATTTCAGTAACATCTTAACTATCAAATAGCAAAAAAGAAATTTCTAAAAAAAAAAAAAAAAAAAAAAAAAACAGCTCTCCCTTAACCCAACTTTCCCCAGGCGTGATCTACTCCCCTGGGAGAACCATTTTTTTTTTGCATATACTAGACTATAGATTCGAATCCAAGCCATGGACATATTCAACACTACAGATTCCAGATTCCAGACTCATGCTGTCCAGTAGGAATATAATACAAGCCATGGACATATTCAACACAACAGATTCCAGATTCCAGACTCATGTTGCCCAATAGGAATATAATACAAGCCATGCACATATTCTAGACTACAGATTCTAGACTCATGCTGTCCAACAGGAATATAATGCAAGCCATGGACATATTCTACACTACAAATTTCAGACTCATACTGTCCGATAGGAATATAATGCAAGCCATGAGCATATGCCACACTACAGACTCCAGCATCATGCTGTCTAACAGGAATATAGTGCAAGCCATGGACATATCCTAGACTACAGATTCCAGACTCATGCTGTCCAACAGGAATATAATACGAGCCATGGACATATTCTAGACTACAGATTCCAGACGCATGCTGTCCAAAAGGAATATAATACGAGCCATGGGCATATTCTAGACTACAGATTCCAGACTCATGCTGTCCAGTAGGAATATAATACGAGCTATGGATGTATTCTAGACTACAGATTCCAGACTCACACTGTCCAACAGGACTATACTACAAGCCATGGGCATATTCTACACTATAGATTCCAGACTCATGCTGTCCAATAGGAATATAGCGCAAGCCATGGATGTAAACTTTCCAGTGCCCACATTTTCAAAAATAAAAGCACATGAAATTACTTTTAATGATTTACTTAACCCAATGTGTTTAAAATATTTTATTGTCAACATAAAAAATAATGGGATATTTTATGATCACCTCTTTGAAATTCAGTGTGCATATTTATAGCATATCTCAATTCAAACTAACCACATGTAATTAAGTTATTCAAATCTCTAAACATTATGATTTACCCACTTCAGGCATTTTCGACTCATTTCCCATTAGCCATCCTTCCTCCCAATTCTATCACTACTTTACTTACTATAATCTTAGGTAACAGATTTACACACACATCTGTCTTTGACACAGATTTAGCTGTTTTGAACATTACCTGCTGATTTTTGGCTATTACTGATCCCTCCTCCAATGAACACAATCCTATTGTCAGAGGAGCTCAGTACTTCACTCACAGAATGTCTGCCCCCACCTGCAGCCGAACGCAAAGAAGGACACACCCGTGACCTCCCAGAAGCCAACATGCCTCCATGATCTTCATTTAGAGAAAACACTGGCCCAAGTTCCACCAGCAGCGGATGGTTCTATTAAATGAATATATCAACATAATGGGAAAATATACTAACCTTTCAAATAAACATAAGGAGACTATGTAAACATGTAAATTCCAAGTAGACAGTTACAATGGTGACTTAGGCAACTGCATAGTAAGTCTGTGCCTCAAGGCAAGACCTTATTTCTGGCGTGTCCAAAGCTCTTCCTTATCAACGTCCTAGACATCACCTGGTGCCGACACACATCCCTGAAATGCTACTCCTTTCCTTCCAAATGGCTCTCACTTCCTGAATAGCCCTAACACCTCCTTACTTTTTTACAGAATGATTCCTTTTCTACAATATTTCAAAATCACTAGCATTCCCTTTTCTTTTTAAACATGTCAGCCTGTTTGGAAAACTAAGTTTATCCAAACATAAAGGAGAGGATTCATAACAGAGATTAAATGTATTCACAAAAAATTTAGGGTGTCTTCCATAAAGGTTACTAATAACATGATAAACAACATCTTTCCTATTCAGCTTAAGTATTCTAATTATAATCCTAAATACCAAGGATGAAAATATTTCTTTTCATAAGAGAAAATACTGTCACTTTAAAAATTCACTTCATTTAGATGTTTTAGTATTATAAATAAAATAGAAATCAACCTATTTCACCTTAGAATACAAGGAAGTTGTAGCATTTTTCTACGTTATTTCTTCTAAATATCTAAATATGAATGTATGTAGAGTTTAGCTTTTTTCCTATTCATTATATACTATGCAGAACTTTCAAATACAAATTTTGTTATTAATACTTTAAAAGCCAAGCATAAGCCAAAAATGTTAGAAACCTGGAAGACAGTTTGCCTATTCTTTAGGACAGTTTTCTAAAGCTTTAACTTAATCACAAGCTTCTAGTAACTCTCAACCAAAACAGCTGCGTGAGTTATGAAGTTCCCACTTTTTTTTTTTTTTTTTTGAGACAGAGTCTTACTCTGTCACCCAGGCTGGAGTGCAGTGGCGTGATCTAGGCTCACTGCAACCTCCAACCCCCAGGTTCAAACAAGAATCTCGTGTCTCAGCCTCCCAAGTAACTGGGACTACAGGCTAATTTTTGTTATTTTTAGTAAAGATGGGGTTTTGCCATGTTGGCCAGGCTGGTCTCGAACTCCTGACCTCAGGTGATCCACCCACCTCGGCCTCCCAGAGTGCTGCGATTACAGATGTGAGCCATTGCGCCCGGCTTCAACTTTTTATTTTGAAATAACTGCAGATTCACAGGAAGTTGTAAAATATGGTCCATATTTCCCCAGTGGTTACATCTTACGTCATTACAGTACAATTTGTTAATCTGCTAATTAGTTTGTTAATTTCATTAAACCAGCAAACTGACATTGGTATAATGTGTGTATAGTTGTCACTGTTACATATATAAATGCCTTTAGGTGCCACATGTTCAAGATGCAAAACGCTCCCCTCACCACACAGATCACCCACACTACCCATCAGTCACCCCAACTCCCTGGCACCATCCTTCAACTCCTGATAACCATTAATCTGTAACCATTTCTACATTTGGTCATGTTGAGAATTTTATGTAAATATGATCAAAGAGCATGCGTCCTTTTGAGATTCTTTTTTCTATGCAATTTAATGGTCACGATCCAACCAATTTTCTGCATGTTATCAATGGTTATTTTCTTTTTATTACTAGCTAGTGTCCACAGTATGGACATAATAAAGTTGTCATGAACAACAATATACAGGGTTTTAAATAAACGTAAGTTCTCATTTCCTTTGGATAAACAGCCCAGGGATAAGACTTCTCAGTCACAGGGTAAAATGTATATTTAGCTTTAAAAGAAATCTTATTAATATATGATTCACACACCATGTAAGGCACCTATTTAAAGTGCACAATTCAATGACTCTCAGGAGATTCAGGAAATTGTGCAATCATTACCATAATCAACTGTACACTTCTATCACCCCAAAAGACACACCACACCCATCTGCCCTCGCTCCTTTATCCCATCCACTTTCCAGCTAGCCTTAGGCAACCACAAATTTACTTTCTCTCCATATGAATCTGCCTGTTCTGGCCATTTCATAAAAATGGAATGCTACAATATACACTCTGGTCTGTTACAACTGGCTTCTTTAACTTAGCACAATGATTTCAAAGCCTATCTATGCTGTAGCATAGTGATAGTTTATTCCCTTTTATTGCAAAATACAACTGATATTTGGTTGTTTCCATTTTTTAGGTTATTATGAATGTTAATGTGTAAGTTTCTTGCATGTGTTTGCTTCTACTTCTCTTGGGCAAACCTAGAAACAGAACTGCTTCTAGTTTAATCACGCTTAGTTTTTGCGAGGTTTTTTTTTTTAATAAAGTGTCAAACTATTAGTATTTTCCAGAGTGACCATTTTTTCTACGTTCCCATCAGCAACATGAGACTCAGTTATACACATCCTCACCAGCATTTGGCATTGTCACTACTTTTATTCTTTATGCAAATCTGTCACACGTGAGAAACTTTGTGACACATATACAACACATAGTGATCAAGACAGGCTATTTAGGGTATTCATCACCCCCGTAAAATACCATTTTCTTAGGGATAGTCACCCTACTCTGCTGTCACTCCATGTATTCCTCCTATCTTACTGTATGTTTGTACCTTTTAACTCTCCTCATTCCCCTCTTCCCAGCACTCACCCTTCCCAGTCTCTATTATCTTTTTCCAGTGTTTACCTCCACGTCTTCAAATTTTCAGGTCCCACATATAAGTAAGAACACGAGACATGACTTTTTGGGCCTGGTTTATTTCACTTAAAATAATGCCCTCTGGTTCCATCCATGTTGCTGTGAATGGCATTTCATTCTTTATATGGCTGAATGGGTAATCGAGACAGAGAGACAGAGACAGAGAGAGTGTGTGTGTGTGTGTGTACGCATGCCTCAATGGTAATCCAGTGTGTGTGTGTACATGCCTGAATGGCAATCCAGTGTGTGTGTGTGTGTGTGTGTGTGTCCAAGCGCGCGCGCACGCGCATGCATGTGTGTGTACATGTGCGCCACACACACACCTGTTGTCTTTAGTCATCCATTGATGGGCACTTAGGCCGATTCCATACCTTTGCTATCATGAATAGTGCTGTGTAAACCTGCTAGTGCAGGTATCCCTTTGTCACTATTTTTTTATTTAGCTGTTCCATTAGGTATGTAATATCTCACTGTGGTCTTAATTTGCATTTCCCCAATGGCCAGTGACAATGAGTGTATTTGTCATCCACATATCCTTTTCAGTGAGCTGTCTCTTCATGCCCATTTTCTAATAGTACTGCTTTGGTTTTTACTGTTGAGAGTTAAGAGTTCTTTATAGAGCCGGGCGCGGTGGCTCAAGCCTGTAATCCCAGCACTTTGGGAGGCCGAGGCAGGTGGATCCCAAGGTCAAAAGA